GTTATTGTTATTCTTTTTTAATCTCCAAGGGATACAAGTCTTCAACTTGCTAAGAAGAAAAGAATATAATTAATTTCTGACTTTCTCAAACCCTTTAATTTTTCAGTGACCACCCTCTATTATTTGCCATAGAAATAAATCAATGCAAACTTGAATTGTACTTGTTACCAATTTTTTTACTCGAATAATTAAAATTAGTTGCACTTCAAATTTCAAATTTATTTTATTCGCTTAGTTTTCACAAATTATGAGGGTTATCGAAGGTTTCGAAATCAAAATTTTCGTCGAGTGGTTGTCAATTTTATTTCTATCTCCAATCACATGAAATGTAATCGAATGTTTAAAATTGTTACTGAATACATTTTATTTGACGAGTTGATCGTTCTTCGTTTATTTCTATTAATTGTACGGAAGCAAGAGAGTTACAAAATAATATACACGTGTGCCAATAATTGGCACGATTTATGCGTTCAGGTCCTCATTGTTCCGATGCTCAAACTTATTAACATTGTAAACATACTTATTCACGAGTTTTACGATAATTAACATGCTTCGGCTAATTACTTTCTCGTTGCTGTTATTATGCATTACGTGTTTCTAGTTCTTAATGAAGAATTATATAATCAAGCATTACGTGCAGATAACAGAATGCTCTAGATCATGCGCCAAGTGAAATGTAATATTCCGGTTTCCTGTGTAATTCAGAATTTTTATTAGTTGATATTTCAGTTTCATAGTAAATACTATGTATCTCAAATTTAATGTAAGAAAAATCCAAATACATAAAAATAATATAAGAAGGTATACTTTACGAAATTATGGTAACCTAAGTAAATAGCTAATACAAACTGGAATGCTTAATTAAAATATATGGACACTTTGGAATAAGTTTCGTAAATTATATTTTCAGAGGATGGATCAAATGATGTGGTGTAAGCTATTTTCTTCGAAACCAGATGTTGGTATCGATTTAATATTTTTCTTTATTAAATGGTTGTATAAATAATTATTCTACAGAGTCATAATTGAATAGCCCGAATGAAAGTATACTTTATTATCAAATAAAAGAACTACTTTACGTAGATAGTACAAAATTTTATAGGGACTGATTTAAGAAATTAATTTACCGAAAAGAAATTGATTTGTCAGAAGAAAAGGAAATTGAAGACGGTCCCTTTTGTCAGCTCTAGTGAATATAGCTATATATACTATAGTAAGTACAAGTAAATACTTCCTCTGACTACCAATCTTACTATAAAATCAACCTTATTATTATTATTATTATTATTATTATTATTATTATTATTATTATTACTAATATTATTATATAGAGGAATCAATTTTTCTCCTCGATTGTTACCTTTTTATTCGGTAAGTCAATTTCAGTTTAGTAATAAATGAATTAATAAATAACAACTATAAACAATAAATTGAAGACGGTCCTTTTTATCAGCTCTAGTAAATACTATAGTAAGTACGAGTAAATACTTCTTCTGTCTATCAAAGTTACTATAAAATTAACCTTATTATTATTATTATTAATATTATTATTATTATTATTATTATTATTATTATTATTATTATTATTATATCGAGGAATAAATTTTTCTCGGCGATTGTTATCTTTTTATTCGGTAAGTTAATTTAGTAATAAATGAATTAATAAGTAACAAGTATAAGCATTAAATTGAAGACGGTCCTTTCTGTCAGCTCTAGTAAATACTATAGTAAGTACAAGTTAAATACTTCCTCTGCTTATCAATATTGCTATAAAATCAACCTTATTATTATTATTATTATTATTATTATTATTATTATTATTATTATTATTATTGCATTGAGGAATAAATTTTTCTCCATGATTGTTATCTCTTTATTCGATAAGTTAATTTAGTAATAAATGAATTAATACATAAGAAGTATATAATAATAAAATGACAAAATGAATAAAGGAATGGAGAAACAATAAAAACGTAATGATAAATGTAAACAATAAGATAAGAATAGAATAAATAGATCCAATTCCGAAGTAACAGTTTCAGAAATGGCGTAAGTGAAACCAGTGTGCATTGACGAAAGACCTTTCCTGGTTGATCTCGTGAAAAATGCGAAAACGACATCGGGTTATAATGTGTAACGCGTCAAACCTGTCCGCCACGCTCTACGAGCTTTAATCACGATAATGGTCGATAGCCAAATTAACCGTGCCAACATGCAAATTCCGTCGTCAATCCTTTCACTCGCGAGTGGACCCCATATTTTCCGGACTTTTCGCACGAAACGTTGTTACACGTACGCGTACGAAATTTTTCTCGTCTCGCGATTACCGTCCACGACGTGAAAATCTGGTTTGCTGAGAAAAAGTGGAAAAAAGGAAATAGGCATCGTAACGGATGAATGAGGAAAAAGTAAAACAGTCGCAGGGATCGGTCGCAGGAAACGGGAAAGTACGATTGAGAATTACTATTAGAAAGTATTTGATTAGTTGTTGAATTCTATTTTGAACCGTGAAAACGGATATTTAAGTGTTTTTCTATATATTACGGAGAATTGGGTTAAGAAACGAGGTATCGAAAGATTCGTAGAATATCTTGTGACGAAAATTGGATCGTTAGCCTTATTCAGGAGGAGATTAATTTTTCTATTTATGAGCCTCGAATTTGAAATTTTCTAAGACTTTGAGAAGCTTGAAATTTTTCAAACTTCGAACTCTGGAAAATCCAACTGCTGAGTTTGTTTTGTAAGAGATATATTTCATTTTAATAATCGAAGGTTTAATTAAATTCTTGTACGAACCTTTATTTATCATAATAATTCTATTAATAGAATCATTATCCTAGTGAATAGATACTGCAAACAATTTGACATTTTTCATTCAACCGACACCTTCAGAAGTGCAATTAGAGCTTTAAGATCGCCAAATCTGTATAATTAATATATAGCTATTATATATATATTAATTATAATAACTATATATTAATAATTATATATAATAACTAATACAGATTATTATACAGATTAATTATACAGATTTGACGATCTTAAAGCTCTAATTGCACTTCTGAAGTGACAATTGAATTAAAAATGTCAAATTGTTTGCAGAATCTATTCACGAAGGTAATGATCCTATTAATAGAATTATACATATATAATAACTGTATATTAATTATACAGATTTGACGCTCTTAAAGCTCTAAATGCACTTCTAAATATGTCGGTTGTTCTAAAAATGTCAAATTGTTTGCAGAATCTATTCACGAGAATAATGATTCTATTAATTGAGTTATTACGGTATAACGTATTGTACAATAATAGCAATTACCCGCTTAATAAATAAATAACTATATAAATAAATAGTTAAACAAAACTCACACAAGAGAAATAACGATGTGGAAAAATACCTGATCTAAATATTTGTTCAGAAACAGTAACATCCAATCTGATTCCGGATTTAATTTACTTTTTTTATCGACTGTAATGTCGGATGTACTGAAACGGATTCCAGAGAATAACATTGATTGCAGCGTGAGGAAATACCTTTCCTTTAATCCCAGATTTTTATTTTTTCCCTTTCTTTCGGAGACTTTCTAGTATTTCGAAGTACCAAATTAAAAAAAGGAAAACAGTATATAAAATTTCGATTTCTGAAAACTTCAAACTTTCTCAGATCTCGAAAAATTCATGCCCAGTATTCTTACCAAATTTTCATCGTACAGCAAACCACAGAAGCTAATCCTATATTGCAAACTTCAAAATAAATCTTCCTAAAACCTTTCAAAGGAACCTATTATTTCGATAAAAATCGTGGGTTACCTGTAATCATATAAAATATTGTAAAAAATAAAAATATAATACAATTGCATTAAACGATTTAATTTTATAATTTCTCTGATTTACTTTTAAAATGCCTACTGCACTTTCTACTTGTAAATATAATTTAATTCGGATCAGTTCTTAATTATACTCTTCGAATTATACTCTTGCGAGACATAATTGATCGTATCGTTGGATCTGAGATTACAAGCCTATATCAGACGTGAGAATCTAAAGACCTGATTTCTAATCAATCTTAATTGAAGATCGTTCATTTTTAACACGTTAAGTGCCCAGCCCGTCTTGCTTGCCGCTCCATTCAGTCCCAGACTAGGCCCAGACTAGGCCGTCAAGTGGGTCCCCGGCGGCGGACCAAGTGTTCATAAATCTCGGAGACACTGTACCAATTGTGATAACAGGAATCCCCAAACGTTAGTTCCAAAGATGGCGAAGAACTTGAAGGTGGAGGACGAGAGGGATGGAGTGAAAATAGCACTACGTTCCCTTAGTAGGACTTTATTATGTGCGGGGGGCCAGTTGCGGAAAACTGAAGGCTAGCATTTTGGGAAGGACCCGTGTCTTTGGAGAGGCGTAAACAAACTGACTCTTTTTCGCCGTTCATTAGGCGCCGAGGTGGTCCGCGTGTCCGCGAGTCATGGGGCCCTGGTCGTAAAGACATAAACCAGGCCCCCATTGACTCGGGACCCTCGATGTCCCGAAGGAGTCGAAAATATTTACAAGGAACCTTCGCTTTCCGCATCTGGGATGTGTCCCTACAAATTTAACACCAAAAGTTAACACTTTTTGGTCCTAGTCTTGGCCGGTCCCTGAGCATCGGCCGGGCCCAAACGGAAAGTCTAGCGCCGGTCCCTGGGAACCGGCGTGGCACTTAACGCGTTAACGTTTTGCACTTGGCGATCTTTTCGTTACAGAAACATAGCAATTCGAAATCTTTTTGCCATAATGTCGACGATATTTTTAAAATGGTAAATAAAAAGTACAAATTAAAAATAACACGTAGAATTATTTTACCTCGATAGTCTACGCGTCGTTGGGCAATTTTAATTTCGAGATGTTAATTAATAACGATCTTTAGAATCTGATTAAATGGCGACTGAGAGTCGCCTCTCGAGTGCAAAGGGTTAAATGTAACTGCGAATAATGTATGCATTGTACTATGTCTACAGGATGCCAGTTCTATCCAGTTGGGGAGTACCTGAAGTTCGTCAGGGTACCAGAAGACCTGACGAAAGGCACGGAGATCTTGTCATTAGAAGCTCATCCGAGGAATCATATCTCGATAATGCCAGTGGATAAGGTAAATACTTCATTGCTAGCTTCCTTATTCTATCAGGCTACCACGATGCCCATAATATGCTGTGTAATCGTCAGTTGTGCTAAATTAAACGTGACATGGAAGTCTTCACGAAGCTGCTTACTCGCGGAAACGTAAACTCCTGGTTCTTTATCAGGAGAATCGAATAATGTAATTTTATTTCGTCATTGTTCTTACTCGAATAGTGGATAATTTATTTAAATTTTAAAGCAGATCAAATTGGGTCAGATGACTTGGAGATTATTATTCTCAGAGATAATTTAATTTTTGAATATTTCAATTTATCTTATATTCTATATATTTTACAATAAAATTATTAAAACTGGTGGAGAATATGGAAAATGAAATAATGAAAAATATTTTTTCAATTAATCAACCCTCTATAATGTGATGCCACTTATTAATTACATATTCGTGAGTATTTTAGTCTTTCTAGAATTTTGTATTTGTTTCATTTAATTACATATTTATATTCTTATTTTATTTTTATATTACTTACTATTTTATTTCGTTAATTTATCATTATTCTGACACCGAATAATTTGTTGACTGTCCATAATTATCACGTTTCAAATGAAACTGAGCAACGTTAATCAGTCGCAAATCAATTTCTGATTAAATGACCAAAGTTCAGATTACAGAGGTATAATTTGACAGAAACTAGATATATGAGTATAATATTCTTCCATGTCATCTCTAGCAGTGCCTAAGAAAGACACTTCCGCTTATGTCTAGGGACATAAAAGTGCAAAGAACTATAGTAAGCTACGGTTTCAATAACGAAGGAAACGATTACGCTTCAGCGTCGCATTTACCGTTGAACGTCTCTGCTAAATGAACCACGGACATAACAATTATGTACACTCATTTACGAAAGTACTCGAACGATTATATTTGCTGTTTTCAATAGCTGGAATGTGCACATTAAACGAAAAAAATAATATAGTATATTTAATGAAAGAAATGTATTAAGATTATAATAATAAAATTAGAAAATAATTCAGCAACGTATAAAATACTTGAAACATGTTTATTAGAAACATGATTCACAAAAGTATTCGAATGTAATCTATCAATAACCAAAAGAATCATTAAGTGTGAAACGAAAAGTTTCAATATGATATTGACGCATCCTTTGCTGCTCTGATAACCTTAAGACGATGCTCCACTTAACACACTAGCGCCACCGCGGCTCTTACTTGTAACGAGTGCACTACGAGTATCCTGTATAACTTGTTTACCAAAATACAGCGTTTTAAAATTACTTAGAACACGCATAATATTATAAAATGTGCTATCATTTTGTCACGCGTTGCATTTTATTAAATATTATATTATTTTTATATTGGAACCTACTATAAACTATTCTCCCAAATTAAATTATTTTAGAAATTTTATTTTCGCAATTAGTAGAGTCTTGTGATCACTTCTGACAGTGTTAACTTCTATCACACTTATTTTGTATTAAATTTAATTAAATTAGGTACTTGTGTTAATAATTAGGTACTTGTAATTAAATTTAATTGGAAGTACCTAGTTATTTTGGTTGTCAGACTTTAATTATTATGATCTAATATTATTGTGAATCTGTTATTGTATCTATTGGCATAGATATTTATTGGCTTGACATAAATATTTCACTTAAATATTTCACTCGTTAAGTGTAACAAGCATAAGTATTCGCATACTTTCGTGTGTGAGGATATCCAAATGGTGTGTTTACCGTTGAACGAGCATGTGCCATCGCGTAATCGAGTCTGCAACTGTTACAGGACGAGGATGCACGTTTCTTCTCTTACAAAGAGACCAACAAGACACATGTCTCTCTAGTGCTGGCCCAGTCATTGGAGGATCTGGTGGACACGGAGGCGCCTAGAAATCTGCTCAAGTTCCGTGTGGTCTGCGATTATTCCGATGGCGGCGATTCTCTGGTAAATTGTAGAAAGTATTCCATCATTATGAACCTTCGATTATCTCACCTGTCTCTATAATGTCATTAAGACATTCTCATCGTTTCACGGTTCCCTGAGTGCCACGTGGCCAGTTAGAGTCGCGTTTCCTTTGTGATCATAATTGGACTATAATGAAGTCATCGAACGAATAATATGGACAATAACCCTTTCAGTGATGATTAAAAAGTTTCACCTAACAGAAACATTCAGATAAACCGAATTAAATTAAATTAAAGGAGTTCGATAAGGTTTGATAAAAAGGATATAAAAATTTTGGGCCAAATTTAATTTTATTAATTGATTTATAATTGAAACCAATTTTTTCTTTAACAAGGAATAAATTTTATTAAATTTGAAACAGAGTTTGCAGTCATTGCTGTAATATATGTTGTACACAATGTGTATTGTATATCATATATATTGTATATAATGTAATAAATAATAATTGGTAAAATTATGTAACTAAAGTTTAGTCAGTTATATCAAATTGTGTCTAGAATTATTATAATAATTGCATTAATTATAATAGGTAAAACTGTGAAAAGTTTGAGAGGATCTTTCAGCTGGCTAGTTACGCGACTCAAAGTTCCCAGATGTATTCCGGGTCTCCCTAGACGTCTAGTTCCTTTTTCTGCCGCGCGTGCGCACGCAAACGTAACTGGAGCGTGGAGGTACCGGTCTCGATACGAACGGACCTTTGCTACCGGTTTTGTGATTCTGTCACGTGCTAATAAACGTTTATGCAACTATTTGGTCGGAATGTCGCGGATTGGAGAAACCGTTACGATACTGATTACTATTTTTACCGAGCCGCGAGATTTAATTTCTCTTCCACAACATGGCGTCACTATTGCTACTTCGCGTGAATAATGAAACACCCTAGATTTTATCTTTCGAAAAAATTTCTTCCATTTATTTGCTCACGTTCATTTAAAATACCCATAATTTCCTTGCACTTAATTTTGCAGCCATAATCACGATTGACTTATCTCTCGTTAGCGTTATTCAAGTAATTTAAAGTATTAATGTGGAATTTTTCCAAATATTTGCGAAATTAAAATATGAAGAATTTATCAGTTTATTTCACGAAAGACACGATATTTGGAAAAATTTCACATTGATACACATTATTAAATACCTTGAATAATACCAACGAGAGTTAAATCTGTCATGACTGTGGCTGCAAAATTAAGTACCTGAAATTTAAGTCCCGTAAAAATTACTGAAAAAATCCAGCCCCTCCTTCCACAAAAATTTAAACTCATAAAATGCATGGAATCTTGAACCACGCTATTAAGAGCCTCGTCATCCAAATCTTATGTCCCTCAAACATCTTAATCCTGAAATTTTCATACCTTCAAGTGCCACTTAACTCGCGGTGATCATCTTCCCATGGATCATACGTCGTCAATTAACTTCTTAATCAACGTGGATCCTCGTCTTTGCCTTCCAACGATCCTCGACATATGTTCTCGTCAGCTCTGCTTGTACCGCCTCGAAATTTATCCTCAATTTCTGGAAACGAGCTCCCAGTGCGCGGTTTCGCGCAAGTATGCAATAAAACTGGAAGAAGGTACACGGAGTACCGTTGTTACGCGTTTCTTTCTCCTCGCCGACTATCAGATGGTAGGTTTGCATGCGTTAATGCAATCTCTGCTAATAAATCTCGGGTAATACTGTTATGCGTCTCCGCCTGCTCACAGTGATATTAAATATCGAGGAGAGGGAGCAAGGAAATGGATACAGGCAGAGGATCGAGCTGCTGGAGAGCGATGGAAAGGATATTAAAATCGATCCAAGGACTATGTCGACGTGATGCGTACCTTGAAAGCAAACCATAAGCCGCGAACAGTTCTTCTCCGACTAACTATCTCTCTGTTATTCATCTTTCATGGATGTACCGATATATCTGCTCTCTATTCTGCTCTATCTATAGGCTTCTTCGACAGTCTTCCTTTTTCTTTTCAACCACTCTGCATTCGAATAATTGGAAAATACGACGTGGAATTAGGATTAAGGTTGGGGTACTATGAAGGGGTTGGTATTGTTGATTGGAGAATGTGGAGTGGGATTGACGAGGAATTTTTAGCCGGAGGAGGGTGTGAGAGGTGTTTGAAGGTGCTCGTGATTGGTTTGACGATGATGAAAGTTCGAAATGCGTAAATCATGGAAGAGAAGACAGGGTTAGTGTGTATATATAGCTTGTAATGATATGGTGGTTGATAATTGAAGTTGCATGTGAATTAGTGTGTAAATTGTTTGCTGTGAAATTGGCAATGATTGAGGGAACTGTTAGGATGTTAACTCAATTTTGGGGTAATTAAATAATTAGGAGTAATTCTTCATGCTTTCTCTAACGTTGGATTTGAATCATTACATATGTGTATAGGATAAGGTATATCATGTAGTATACTACGTAGTATAGTATAGTATATAATAATAATAGCTTACAGATGCGGTATATAATAATACTATACAGGCATATAATTTAGTAATAGAGAATAGTAATACTATATGAATGCACTATATTTAATTATGTATTGTGATTTACTATATAGCAATAGTGCTGACGCAATATATAGATATCGAATAATATATTTATTATAATATTTAATAGTAATATATATAGCATATAGTATGTAGTATATATTAATATTAATATAATAATAGCATTCAAAAGTATAATGTATCTTGCAATAATAGTTTATAGTACATTATATAATACTAATTATAAATGTTGATAAAGGTGATAGCCATTAAAAATGAATAAAAATCGCTTTGGAAAATTAGATGTTCGTTCCTGGTTACTTAACATGTTGTCAGTTGACAAGCAGTGTATATCGAGATATACCATAAAATATCTCTGGGTCTAATCCAAGCATGAATTTCGATTCGCCTGAGAACTGCTTATTATGTCCTAGTGCAGGGTTCGCAACTATAAGTGACGGAAAAAATCCTCAGTTTCCTGTTACCTTGGCATAACATATTTAAAAAGACATTGCGTGACATTGTTTATTACTGTACAAGAGGTTATGTCGCAAAGATACTGAAAATTGCACATTTTCTCTGTCCATTCCGGAAACTCTGCTCTGTACTTTGTCCTATCATACAGTCCTCCTTGTGTTCAGTATCCTCTGGCTTCGTTTAAAATTGTGTCACCTATATCGTTTCAGAGAAGAACCTTCGAACTATTATGGAAACAAAAATGAAATTAAAATTAAAAAGTAGCCATTGGAGCATCCATAGAAAAATTAAAACGTTCATAATAATACCTTATATTCTTATAATAATTATTATAATTATACTAACTTCCTCTTCTTTTATTATTCACAGTATCTGCATTATTAATATTCATGTTACATTATATATCATTTCTAATATCATTTGTTTATTTAGCATTTAAATTACATAACTTTCTTCGATGATAGTTTTATTATCAACAATTTGACATTGTACTGAACATTATGCACAGTAAAAACATTTACCCAATAAAATAAAAACATAATCTAATAAAATATACAATAAATATCGTATATGCAGACTAATAGCCTAATAGCTGTAATAAAATATAAAAAATTAAAAAATTGAAACTAAATGTATCTGACAGAAATTATCATAATCATTGGTAACCTAGCAATACTAATTAAGGGTTGAAACTCATCGTGTACCCCTGGTATATCTCTCTCCATTCCCAATTCCCAACCAATTAATTAATTCCTGCCCGAATTTGTTCTGCTATGCAATATCTGTATACATGGTCAATAAAAGCAATCGAGATCGAAGAGTTTGCATCGAAAGGAATGTATAATATTAGATCCCCCTTCGAGATGCAGTGCTTTCGAACCCGTGCACGCTACACAACGCTCATATACCAACGTTTATGCTTGTAGGTGACGTCGCACCTGTCAGTGACGGTCTACGTGGAGGACATAAACGATCATGCTCCGCAATTTGTCGATGCGCCTTATCACGTAACCGTGGACGAGCTTACCCCAGTCGGTGAGATATACTGCATACGAACTAGCCTTAAGTCGAACCGTGCTTGGTCCTTTACTTCCGGAACGCTGTACCGAGAATATCTTGCTGGAAATTCAATTTTCAACCAAGATGGGGGCTAACTAAAAATTAAAGCACCTTTCCTATGTAATGACATATCTACATAAAATTTGTGTAACGAAAGTAAAAATTTTATGTATAAAAATATGCATAATTATGGAATTTTATCTATAGAATTTTAAAGAATTATATAATTTTATACACAAGAAGTACATAATTTTGTATATAGAATTTTATAGAAATATGTAGTTTTATACATAGAATATTATATGTAATAAATATAGAATTTTATATAAAGGATGTTCCTATATATATTTTATATATTTATTAAAATTTGGTAATATAAAAGCAGGTAATGCGTGTAAGATACCTTTTTCTCCTTTCAAATGGAAAGTTCAATTTTTGTGTATTACTGTAACAAGGAGAAAGGAGTTTAGATAAATCTAGAGCTGATTAATTTTAAATGCTTTTAAGGTAAACTTTTAGGCTAGTAAAATTGTTATGTCTCGCACGTTTGCAGTAAGAGTGAGTTACTTAAAGTAATTTACAGACCTAGATTTTATCGGCGATTTTCATCTACCTGTGATACTATGTAATTTCTACTGTAATAGTGGTAAACTGTGTAATACTAAGGGGAAAGTAAAGTGTCCTTTCTAAAACACTCACACTTTCGAATTCCCAGTTTTGCCGCTTAAACTCATGATTAATCCGTCACTTTGAAAACCTTATTTGGTAGGTTTAACTACATGAAACTCGAAAAAATTTAATTTCAATAGTACATACTTATGCAACTTTCATAGAGTTAGTCAGGCAATTAGTCTCCCAGAAGTAATTAAAAATTCCAAAGAAATAAGTTATATTTTATATATGGGAATTTCAATTTCATTATTAACTCTGAGCAGCACTAATATAGTCTGTGGTTATTGAACTTATAGTAACAATTATATTCCTTTTACTATACTATTCACTTCCAATTTAGTAATTTATAAAAATGGAGACAGAAAGTTACTTAAAAATAAATGGGAAATTGAAAATTTATTTTCATTGCAAGCTTTCATGACACGTTTCATTGAAAAATTAATTTCAGTACCCTTTTCACTCTATACAGTGACTGTTAAAAATTTCCACTACTATAGTAACGAATCTCTGCAAACAAATACCTATATATAAATATAGTGAATATCTTCATTGCATAAGAGAACATTTTTAATTTTTCCTAGAAGAAAGAATTTCATTAATATAAAATATCAATCAAAATATGAACTGCACACTTATCCTGCAGACTTACACAAGTCCTTGATACCTCTTTCCTAGAAGTACAAAACATTCTATAAGTTTCTTCCTTCATATTTTCATATAAAATAAATCTGTACCTCATTGTGCCACCAATTATGTAACACTCTGTACACTTTCTATCTTATTATCTGCACTGCTCCAAAATCTAAATCACAGATCTGTTATGACAGCCATACTAATGAGTCTAACTAGTATACCCAGCACAAGAAAAGGCCCCTTCATTCCATTCCTTCCTTTCTTAGCATTACTACAGTGCCACGAATTTTTCAAAAAGTTTGATTATTACTGTAGCATATAGGTATACTCAAATCCTCTTAAAACACGGTGCGAAAATTACGACACGCTTCCTATAACACGACATTTTCACGACACGGTTTCCATGTACTACAACTTCATAAACTCCGAGGAAAATAATCCTCTTCCTTCTTTCACGTAGAGCAACACTCATTCACAGTAAACTAAAAAGAAAAGAAGACACGTAAGAATATCTAAATTTTTAAGAAAAATGTGTCAATTATAACGAATACAAATAGCAAATACAGGAAATCAGATATTTTTCAAAATATTGTTGGACAGTAAGGTGCTTCTTCATGAGATGCAAAAATGGGTAATATTGTAAACAATTATCAAACCCAATTTCATTTCAGAAAATATTTATATAATAAACCAAAAAAACAAGGAAACAGTTAAGAGAATCCTAATTTTTAAGAGAAATATGACAATTATTATGGATATAAATACAAAAATTCAGATATTTCTCAAATTATTATTAAACAGTAGGAAAGGTGCTTTTTATGATTTACAACAATAAACAATATTATAAACAACCATCAAACACAATTTCACTTCAGAAAATATTTATGCAATAAACTAAAAAGAAAAGGAGACACGTAAGAGTATCCTAATTTTTAATAAAAATGTGTCAATTATAATGAATACAAATACAAAAAATCAGATATTTTTCAAAATATTGTTGGACAGTAGGAAGAGTGCTTGTTTATGAGTTGCAACAATGAATAATATTATAAACAAGTATTAAACACAATTTCACTTAAGAAAATATTTATACAGTAAACTAAAAACAAAAGACACGTAAGAATATCTTAATTTTTAAGGAAAATGTGTCAATTATAATGGATGAAAGTAGTAAATACAAGAAATCGGATATTTTTCAAAATATTACATCACAATGTTAATTATCAATTATAATTTTTACAAATACAGAAAATCGGATATTTTTCAAGATATTGTTGAACAATAGGAAGGGTGGTTGTTTATGATTTGCAACAATGGACAATATTATAAACAATCGTGAAACACAATTCCGCAACAGAAAATATTTCCGCAAGATTGCACAGTTGAGAAAATGACTTGCCACCAAGACCACCGTGGGTTTTCGTCGAAAGCCGCGAAGTATCAGCAGACCTATCCTTAATGAATCGGAAATCGTTCTGTCCTCAGGTGTTACGATATTCCGTGGGATCCACGCGGTGGACGGAGACAAGCCGAATACGCCGAACAGCGACGTGCGGTACGCGATAGTGAAAGGCAACGAAGAGGGCAAATTTTCACTAGAATCTGGCCACAAAACCTCTCTTATACTACGCAAACCGGTGGACTTCAGCAACGGCGACCGCGAGTTCACGCTGGTCATCGCGGCCACGGTGAGTACGCGACTCGATATTGCACCGGCTAATACTCCGTTCGTAGAAAATCGTATTATCCGCGGTGAAAGTTGCCCGGCGTCGATGTCGCCTGAATAATTGCAGGTCAAACGAAGAGTCTTTGTACATCGTCACTAGGTCGTTCTTGATTGACAATGATTAGTGACGGAGTTGTTTGAGGTAACTGTGTATAGCTTCGAATAGTAAGTGGACTGTAAGAATTACCTTAATACTGCAGGGATTAACTATGGTGGTAATTTATTAATAAATTATTACTGTGCGCGAGTGACGATTAAACATACGAATTATCTCTTTACGCGAATCTATATGGATTTTCAACTTAATATAGCTAATTAATTAGCTTAACTTATTTCTATAAAATTAATTAAAAATTATTAAAATTAATTTATTCTTATGAAATTAACTGTGTATAGCTTCGAATATTAAGTGGACTGTAAGAATTACCTTAATACTGCAGGGATTAACTATGGTGGTAATTTATTAATAAATTATTACTGTGCGCGAGTGACGATTAAACATACGAATTATCTCTTTACGCGAATCTATATGGATTTTCAATTTAACATAGCTAATTAATTAGCTTAACTTATTTCTATAAAATTAATTAAAAATTATTGAAATTAATTTATTTGTATAAAATTTACTTTGTATAGCTTCGAATATTAAGTGGATTGTAAGAATTACCTTAATACTGCAGAGATTAACTATGGTGGTAATTTATTAATAAATTATTACTGTGCGCGAGTGACGATTAATCATACGAATTATCTCCTTACGTGAATCCATATCGATTCTCATCTTAATACAGCTAATTAATTAGCTTAGCTTATTTCTACAAAATTAATTAAAAAATTATTCAAATTAATTTATTTCTATAAAATTAATTAACTTAGCTTAATACTTCAATTTCATAATTTAATAACAAGTCAGTTTGCAACAACTAACCGTACACTTCAAATTGTCTACAGAAAACTGTCTCCTGACCACTCTTAACCTTCTTTATATATCTTCCCACCACTTCATAACCTAGCTTTGTAGAAAACCACGTTTTCCGACGACTCCCTTAACATGACCAAGTATGACCATATATATGGCCACATTGGGCCATATACTTGAACTACATTGAATTACATTGAATGAAAATTGACACTTAGTTCATTTTGAATATAACCGCAAATTAGAAGATACTTTGAAATAAAAAGTGCCCCATTGAACAATTTAAAATTTTTATTAGAACATCGAAAACGTATTAGAATAATTCTTGCATCTACCGGTGCACTCACGTGGTGTCCTGAGAGGAACATATGATTTCAGCGTGGCAATCAAAAGATTAACAAAGTCTTTATTCTCGTTACAAATTTATATGTGACTTTTGAGAAGAATGACACCGCCGAGTACGTACTAGATCTTTTGACAATGGCGCTCCAAACTGAATACTAGCGCAAGAGTGGGGTGACTGTGATGATTGGCAATATTTCTATCGGAATTAGGAAGCAAGTGGGGGTTGTTTATGTTCATTGTCGCCTCGTCTTATCGTGTTTCAGGACCGTGGTGTGCCCACCAGGAGTACCAACACGACAGTGAAGATAACGGTAGAGGCCAACGATGATCTCGATCCGAAGTTCACACTGGATGTGTACAGAGCGAAGATTTACGAGTTTTACCCTATGCCGGTGAGAGTTTTTCATTTAAATTAACATTAATTACGATTTATCAAGGTGTCCCAAAAATCGTGGATGATTCTATATTTAAAAGTGAGACGAATCAAGGAATATCGTTTTATAATTAATTAAATATTTTTCATGGGGTATTACATGCACCATGGAACACGTTAATATACTGTGACGAATCAGTAATCAATCATTCTACAGAATGATACGTATTTTTTTCCTCTTTTTAATTTCAATTGAAGTATATCTTCTGAAATGTAATAATGTGTATAATTGCATTTTTAGCTGTTTTATTCTTATCTTTTTAAAATTATTTTTGTTATTATTTTTATTACTTTTTAATAATAATTATTATCTTTTTTCCTAGAGAATGAAAAGATATATTTGTTAAGAAAAATTAAATTTTACGTTGGTCTGTGCAGAAGAATAATTATGGTAAAATTTTTGAAGAATATTAATTTACTGTTTTATTTTAGAATATTTTCTCTTCGTTATTTAATTGTTAATGAAATATTAATACAAAGGAAAGCAGAAAATTCCATTCCTATAGAATCTTATTCTTTGTTAATAATACTGTACGTGATTGAGTATGAATGAGTGAAAGTGGCGTGTCTTGAATACTATGAAATTGACATTCGCATTTGAATAGCTTGTAGGCATTACATTATACCAGCAATTAAATTAATTAAATTCGTTATAAATTTTTGTTCACACGTGAATGAGTAACATCGTGTTACGTTGCGTATTTTTATAATTATTACTGAAAGCGTGGATACCTTAACGATCATCGGTGTAACAGATACACGTAATAACTTTCTAATTGTATATAAATTAAGGCTGTTAGTATCGTTTTCAGGCAATAGACTCGTCAAATTGCTCGTAAAATTTATTCAATTGATTCACGCATTTCCATAGTTGTTTCCCTCGCATGACACTATTTATTCGCAATTTAGACAGCAATTAATGATTTTCTAGTATTTCACACGTGAATATTTAATCGGTTACAATAAATTGCTAAATAACGTGATTTGATCTCTTATTAAATCCTTTTATTTATCAGAACAAAATGAATTTTCTTTATTTAATAATAATGTGCTAAAAAATTTAGAAAAATTTAGCAATTGGAAATGTTTCTGAAAAATGGCAGATAAATCAAAATGACTTAATTAAGAAAATCATATCAAAAGCCTTAAATAAAAAAAAAAAAAAAGATAAAAATACTGAAATTTCAGCAGTCAATAAAAATCTTTCAATTTATCTCAAAAATAGGAATATTGAGCTTAAATTTTAAAAGAATATTTTTAGATATGTGGCCACTCATTGAAGATGATTTACCATAAAAGTGTTTAAAGAAATTTTTTTATTTATTTTCTCATTTTCTCCAAATTCTCTATCATTCGTTAGAGTAGTAAGATTTGTCAAAATTTAAATGCACTCTCCATTTTTAATATCGATATATCGATTTTCAATGATTGCAAAATATCTCTAACACTGACGGAATTACCTAAAGGAATTTTTCTACGACTTCAAGCGATTTATCTATCACGTCACGAAATAAAAAATTGGCCAGGTATTGGATAAAAACTGTGCCGGTGGTAATCAGTTGATTGTACTGGAATGACGCAATTGCAAGGAGCAGCGTGTAATTTCGACTTGGAAAATATCACGGTGTAACTGTATAAAACCAGTCATAATTAAACACCGACGGCGATTATTCGATTATGCAATCGCGAAACGGCCACGCGCTTGCGTACGCTTATATTAAGCCGGATCCACACGTTCTGCGTACGATGAACCGTGTACTGAAGTACGTAATTACATTTACAGCTTTGTGTACTTTGCAAATAGTAAATGATTAATAGCTGTAGAAATAAAAAGGGTATGGAACAATCCCTCAGTTTTACTATATATGAAATAGCTTTATTCATGAATGATGTATGGTATCCAAGGTATAATAATATGATAGTAATAATTTTTTCTCGAACCAAGAATTTCTCAACATTTTGAAATTACGTCTACTTTATTGAACACTACTTTCCACATTTTATTTTAAATAATTAAAATAATGGAAATTACGTTGTTCCTCAAGATACTGTTTTCATTAGAACTTTCATCCTTGATGTAAATTAAATATTAATGAGAATTTTTGTTTCAGGTATGAATGGTATAAATAATATATATTATACTCTATATAAAGAGTATTATTTCTAGTAGAAACTTAAATATTTAGTATAATTAGTTTTAATTGTAGACTTCTTTTTCTTGGCATAAATAGTGTCTTGAATTTTATTCTGGAAAATTTCAATCTTCAGTAGAATGGCGAATATTTAGATGGTTTAGGATGTATTCTTTGCTCCCATTTCCATGAAAAGTCCGCGCCTATATGGCAGAGAATACGATTCCATATCGCTGGTTCGCATTCAAATACATCCAAACATTCTCAAACCCTCTCGTTAGACTGTCCCACTGCACTAAATTCGCAACACGAACGTTTCGATGAATATGTGGATCGAGATGGAAATCGTCAACGTTCGAATATTTGCTTCCTTTGACTTGGATCCGAAGAGAAGCATTCTAGAATCGACGAATAACTGGCATTCGCCAATGTCACTGGATACACGCGTGCTGTTACTCGTCGAATGATGAATATTTGTTCAATAACATTGTTACAGAGTGAAACATGTGAGAGAACATTTCTTTTTGTTCAGTGTAGGTAGATATTAATACCTATTTTAAAGTATTCCATAATTGTAATGAAATTCGTGTTAAAAAAGATATTAATACTTTGAAAACTGCGATTAGGAGGTTTGTAACGTTCTTGATAATTAACATTAAGTTCTAGTGTTCGATTTACTATATTTAAAGAAGGTTATGTCAAACGAATTAAAGAATTGCAGTAAATAATTGGAAGTTAAAAGGAGAAATGCATATATTATTTTATTTCATCAAATTTTTATTATATTATATAAATTTTATTCGAATTTTGTAATGAATATTCCGAAAAATTGTTTGAAACGTTTAGAATTCGGTAGGTAATTTCTTCATAATGATTGACAACCGTGCGAAACCGTCTTAAGGCAGTCGTGGGTAGCCACAAGCACTAACAAAAAGTTAACTCGTTAGTTCCAGTTAACAGGTTGAACCATTTACTGTTCTTCCAGTAAACAATTCTTCGAAGGCTAGAATTATTAATCTCCATTTAAACTCAAGTGACGATCGTGTGAAACCGGCTTAAGGCACTCACCCATGTTCGCTAATATTGTCGTCATTCGCCACTTGTATTTAACAGGTTAAGATATTTAGAATTTCTTCAGAAGAGAATTCCTCGGAACATTAAATTATTAATTTCCACTTAACGTCTAGAGATGACCGTGTGAAACTGGCTTAAACCAGTCAGCCATAACCACCAATACTAAGTTAACTCGTCATTTTTATCTCATTAGTTAGAACGTTTAGAATTCCTCTAGAAGATAATTCTCCTAAACTCTGAATCACCCATCTCTGTTTAACGTCAAATGACTCCCGTATGAAACCGGCTTAAGGCAGTCATCAATTTTCATTAATACTGGGTTGGCTCGTCATCCCCATTGAGCAACTTAAAACCTTCAGAATTCCTGCAGATGGTAATTTTTTCAATCGCTGAATTATTAACATTCTTTTACGTCAAATAGTTCCCGTGTGAAACCGACTTAAGTCAGTCTGCAAATTTTATTAATACTCAATTAACTCGTCATCCATATTGAGCAACTTAAAACGTTCAGAATTCCTGCAGACGATATATCTTTTAATCGCTGGATTATTAACCTCTGTTCAGTGTCAAATGATAGCTGTGTGAAACCGGCTTAAGATTGTCCTCATTTCAATTGATACTCCATTGACACTGTATCCCTATTGAGCAACTTAAAACGTTCGGAATCCCTCCAGACGATAATTTCTTTAATCGCTGAATTATTAATCTCCGTTTAACGTCAAACGAGGATCGTGTGAAACCGGCTTAAGGCAGCCGCGCGTATCCGCCGGCAATGACCGCGTCAATGCGCGACGCTGGATGATCGTCGATGGAAGAGCCGCATATTACGGAACAAACGAACTTTCTACGCGGCCATCGAGCCGCAACGCTTCCTTCGGTCGCGTAGCTTCCACGACACTTGCTTTTTTCTATACTCTTTCCTACCGTTGAAACCAATTTGCTCGGTCTCGACGTCGTTGAACTCACCCTTTAATCCCTTCCATCGCCATTCTTCTAAAGCCGTGTACACACTTGTAGACATTATCTCCGAGCACGTGTTCGTGTACCAAATTCCTAGATAGCTGTGCACAGTTCAGAGACAATTGACTGAGTTTTACAATATACAAATGCAGGATGCGTAGTACGCGGTATACAACTATAGTATATGTGCGCGATATACGCAGATACAACTGTCCGTGCGCGTATTTCTTTCTAGCTTCCAAAAGTTCGTCGATCGTGCGTAGATGGACCGTGCGCGGATATGCTGGCTCTCGTGCGCATGCGCGTGGCCACTGACAATGTCCGTAAGCGTGAACGCGACTTAACGCCTACGCGCGTTAAGCTGGCTATTCATCGCGTGAATAGCGCGGTAGATCTAAACAAAACTAAGTAAAAGACCGAAGTTGAAATTTTAATTAAATGTCAGTATCGTGAATACGATCCTTGTCGCATTACCTTTTGTTACTGTCGCGTTTCCTGCTTTCGAAATAAGCGCAATCAACAGTATAAGCTGATAGAATAAACCGGATATGTTACCCGTGAAGCAAGAGTTTCTGAAAGAGTATCGGTAGGCTTCTGTCTCCGAGGTTTACAGTTACTTTGATTACAGTGTACGCGATGCTTCGGGATTTAACTTCGGCAGTTTATTTACTTCATTTCGCGATTATATCGGGGATACCAATTTTTGGAAAATAAAAGTTTAAGATAATATTCCCTATATTCTGTGAAAATTGAAAATTTAAGTCATCGATTCTATTATTTTTTTGGAAATTACGAATTGGAGATAATATGTTTAATATTTTCCAAAGTAAAAATTTAAAAAATTTGAGAATTCTTGATTCCAAAGTAATTATGTAAAATAATTCGGTTTTAGAAGGTTTAATAAAAGATATTACTCCATAGAATACTAATTCTTCGAAGAAGTGACATTTTAAGTCACATTTTCGACAAGCCCCGATTAATCTGACAACGAGTGCCATTAAATCCTATTTCACGCGTGTTGGAAAACCGAAAATCAGTTTCTGCCCGCTGCATCCCTTCGTTCCCACAATCCCGTTCGCAAGTACCATTTTTCCCCCACGCTTGCGAGAGGGCGCTGTTCGTCGCGACGAATGGTCCCGTTTGCGCTACACGCGACGCTCATAATCTAGGCTGTGCCACATCGCGGGAATGTCAGAGGTTAATACTTTCCTGCGCGGAAACCTTGAGGTATAAATTTCGTTCCGAAGGGAAACACGATCGTGCAGCAATGCACGCCCCGATATTTATCGCGACTCGTTCGACTTTCGAGCGATTCACGTTGCCTCGAGTCGTGAGCCGAGATTTATTCGGCGCGGTCCGACGACGGATTCGACGATATACCAAGACGCTGGAAACAGCGTCATCCCCGTGTTCCGTTGCTGAATTAACTTTTCCCCTCGATTTATGCACAGGCGTCTCATAGTCGTTCCGCGACAGTTCTGTCCTTCGAGGTCGGATGATTTTGTTACGAGAGATCGTCAAGATCGGTGTCTGCTTATCGTTTTAGAGAAGTTTGGAAAAGGATGACGTTGATTTCGAGTTTATGGCAGGGGTTGGTTCTGTGTGATCGTAATCATGCGAGTGATTCGGTAGGAGAAGATTTAAACATTTAGAAAATTTTGAAACTTGATATATATATATACATAGAAATTTTATTATTTATTTTTTGGTCCACTTATTGACCAAAGTGGTAAATTATTAGATGATGCTGGTAGCTTCGTGGTAATTAATTTTTCTTAATTTTTAATTTGTGTAAAGAGCGAAACTTTTAATATTTTGAAAAAAAGCATACAGTACGTTCGACAAATTTTGAAATTCACTTTTCTCAAACACATAGTCTTATATGAAAAAATATTGTTATGCAACGAATCAGGGTTCATTTGCAATAAATTATTAGGTTTAATTTAAACCTACAAAATAAATTTCTGAAATTTGGTTTAATTAGATAAAATTAGGTTCAATTTTTATATTAAACTTTGATCAATTTATTAATTACAATTATATTGCTAATATTACATATAAGAATTCAGCAATTCTATAATTTTAGAATAAGCGTCTATGTCTTTCGAATACCTCCTCTAAAATAACATTGAAAATTGGTGATCTTATGGTGAAGTATTATAATTGTATTATTATTATATGTAAAAATTCTGTGATTCAATAATTCTAGCAAAAATGTTAAAAAATTTGAATGCTTTTCTAGGATGATTTTAATAAATTGTAACGCTATAATGGCACCTTAGAGAGACCAATTACGTCGCAGACTAATTATTCGTACATCGTGCGATACTTAGAAGGGAAGTTACTCAGATGACGAACTTGCTCCAGAAAAATAACAATAGTTCCAGTAATCTATCCCATAATTGCCGAGACAGGAGCCATTCGCCTGGAAAGATCCATATCACTTCGAAAAATGGCACTAGTGCAATTAGCTTCGAAACTGGGTATGAAAAGTAACGCATAAGTGACAATCGTTATTTCTCTAACGCAACTTCCTTTGTTAGGCTCATGAGAAATGTTCCATTATTCTAGAAAATTCCGGATCCATAGATGCTTGAATGTCAATCGCTTCTGTGATTGACGTCACTAGAAAATGTCACCATAAGACCTAAATTCGTTTATCGAATTTAGAACCAATTAAATTATAGGTGTACACGTCGAAGTTGGTATCAAGGAGTTCTAAATTATTAAATAGCTTCTGCTCAAAATAACATTGTCCCCTCAGAACCCTATCAAGAATCTGTCACGTGATTCTAATAAATAATTAACCTTACTAAGCTACCTGACTAAGCAAATCTAGTTTACTTACCGAAGAACGAATATTTTTGGAAGACCTAAATTCAACAGATCAAAGCAGTGCAATATTGTCTGAAATCTATCTTTATCCATTGTTGTAAAACTGTTTACTGGTGGTTACTGATCGATACTCATCACGATCTCTTCAATTAGCATCTCATAAATATTTTACGAGAAGATCAATTTAGGATTTCGATGACAATTTCGACAAAGGTAGCAATGCCAATAATTACAGAAATTATTCTTCTACTGATAGATCGGTATAGCAATCAAAATAATTCCTTTTATAAGAATAATTTCATAAGAACAGTAAACCTGTAAAGAACAACTATTTCTTATGGTTTTTAGTCAAACTATAATAGATTTAAAAATTCGTACAAAATTATTATCCTTCAGAAAATGTTCTTCAATTTAAAATCCTAAATTTAACTTCAGAAATACCGTCGTATGGAATATTATAGTGATAATGGTTAAAGAAATTATTCTTATACTGATAGATCGGTATAACAATCAAAATAATTCCTTTTATAAGAATAATTTCATAAGAACAGCGAAGCTGTAAAGAACAACTATTTCTTATGGCTTTTAGTCAAACTACAATACATTTTAAAATTCGTACAAAATTATTATCCTTCAGAACGAGCTCTTTAATTCAAAATCCTAAATTTAACTTCAAAAGTACTGTCATATGGGGTATCGTAATAAATATATTAAATATATACTAAATAATTTTGCAAATTATATTTACTGATAATTATAGGAAATAATATAATATTAACTTGAGAAATATTATTCTGACTCTATAGATATTCGCATCATATGACAATTCAAAGATATATAATCCAGAAAATACCGATATTAAATAGAAATGGAATAAAACTTGTAGTCAAATTTCTTTCTTCACCCCCAAAAAACAATTTTAATAGGAAGTATAACTCGGGGAACAGAATGGATTCGGATTAAAATTAATAAAAGGTCTCTTGTTCAAAATGTTTATGATGAATGATCAAGAGCGATCGCGGACACAAAGTCGCCATCCGCTGGGGTTCAGCCATTGTTGGCTCTTTTACACTAAACATCCGACTATCTCTCCCAAAATTATATTCCACGAGATATTTAATCCTTTGCACTCGAGAGGCAACCCTCGTCGCCATTTATTCAAATTCTAAAGATCTATTTTAATTAACATATCACATTTAAAGTTACTCAATGATGCGCGGAATGTCGATGCAAAATAACTCTACGTCTTAGTTTGTATACCATTTCTTATTTATTGTTTTAAAAATATCGTCGACTTCATGACAGAAAGTCTTCGAATTACTGTATTTTCCTAACGAAAAAATCAACGAGTACAAATAGTTAAAAGATATCAACCCCCATACCTCAATCTCTCTTACGCCCACCTCCCTAACCTCTCTAAATCGTTCCGACAACCCGAACCCAACAGGGATATTAACAACCACCATGAATCTTACAGGCATATCCGATCTTCATGAAAATCAATTTCTCCACACCGATCCAAGTCGTGGACCGCGACCGAGGCATCAACGCATCCGTTCGCTATGGCATAATATCCGGCAACGAGCTAGGCTTCTTCCACCTGGACCCCAAGAACGGTACCCTGTATCTGACACGTCCCATCGACCTGGACGCCGAGCGAAATTTGCCAGGGAACACCTTCACTCTTCGAATCCACGCGTCCCAAGTGGAGAACCCGTTAAAATCGGCAGTGGCCCGTGTGGAGGTCGAGATCCTGGACCTGAACGACAACCTGCCCGAGTTCGAGGTGGACCTGTACAACATCAGCATCGTGGAAAATCTACCGAACGGATTCAGCGTGCTGCAGGTGATAGCACACGACAAGGACCAAGGCGAGAACGGGCAATTCGATTACGATCTGCGAGATCCGTCCGGTGCCTTCTCCGTGGACGCGAAGTCAGGATGGCTAACGGTGAAGGATCAGTCAGTCTTGGACCGCGAGAAGCGGGATCACCTGCGGATGAAGGTGTTCGCTTTGGAGAGAAGACCCAGCGTGGTCGTACGTGACAACCCGCGAAAAGCAAATGGCTCTTCCGTGGAAGTCGAGGTGACTCTGCTCGACGCGAACGATAACAATCCGATCTTCGTGCCGGAATACCTCTACGAACTGGTCGCCAGAAGCGACTACAAGGTGGGCACGGTGCTCGGCCAGGTGCACGCGGTCGACGACGACCTGGGGCCCAACGGTTTGGTCAGGTACAGGCTGCAGAAATCCTTGAATTCGACGACCCGTACGCCGCCGTTTATGGTGGACGAGATCACTGGCATGATTACGGTAGCCGAGAGTCCGATCCTCGAAGGCAAACACGCGATCTTCGTGGAGGCTGCGGATCAACCGGCAAATCCTAGCGAGAGGAGGTACTCTTTGGCTGTAGTGACTGTGGACGTCTCGAGATCTGATGGTGAGCTTGAGTTATGCGTTTCGCTTGGTTCATCATGGGGTTGTTAAAGTATGTTAGATCCTCGAGGCTAGGTGATTGATAGCTGAGGAGCTGATTTGTTGCACGTTTCTGGTGATGGTTTCGATAGATGGGGTGTGGTTGGTTCGTTAAAGCAGCGAAGTTCTGTTATTTTATAAATGGAGGAAATTTTTACTTCTATTTCGATTGGAGGATATTTTTGGAGCAATTGTGATTGGGCATGAATCAATCCCTTTCCGTACTTTAACGAGTCTGACTCGTGATGGTGGTATTGGGTCGAACATGAATATCACGTGCCAGACTCGTGAGTAGAGAGTCAGCCCATACATGGATATCACGAGCCAGACTCGTGAATAGAAAGGTGGCCCAATCGTAAACATCACGGGTCAGGCTCGTGGACGCATCACACGTATTTATATTTCGGCTCGTATTGCGACTATTTTCGAGCATCAGTTTGATCTGATCATCGCGCGTTGACGTCTACCATTTGGGCCCAGATTTCGTCGAGCTGAATGGTACAGGAAGGGGTTAACTGTGCTAAAATATTCACACGTTCTTTGGAATTATTTGGAAATCTATTATTTTGTTGCACGTTCTTGGTGATGGTTTCGATAGATAGGGTGTGGTTGGTTCATTAAAGCAGTGAAATTCTATTATTTTATAGAGGAAAGGAATTTTTACGTTTATTTCGATTGGAGGATATTTTTGGGGTAATTATAATAGAATTTGAATTAACTGTGCTGAAATATTCACACGTTCTTTGGACTTATTTGTAAATCTGTTATTTGTAAATAAGGAAGACTGGTTTGAGAGCTATTTTCTTGGCTCTCTTGCATTTTGAACCTAGGAAACCTGAAAATCCTGATCTGCAATCTGCTAATCCTCAATTCCACTGTCTTAAGCTCCTAGATTGACAAGATAATTGGGCTTACATCATGGCTCTTGTCTTTCAGGTTTTATTAACATCACGCTTATTAAATATATAGGAGTCGAGTCTAAATTGATGATACCTTGTCTTTAACGGTTGATCTTGGGATCAAAACATTCCCAGAATGCATCCTAGATTTGCTCAAACTTTGACCGTTATGTAACCATAATTTCAAAGTATCTTGCGACCTTTCTAACCTTCGATGAAGTAAATGATAATCGTTCACATTGGCACTTGTATATTCTGAAAAATTGTTGAAATTCCTTGAAAGACCTCGTGTTACAAGTGCTATGCGATGATATAAGCTAAAGATTTTTGCCATCCTATTGTCACGGGACAATCACTGCGGCGACTTTAAGAAAATGGCGCTTGGACTAACTCTGGAGTAAAGATGCGATGGTTTATATTAGCACGGATAACTACTTATAATTATGGATAATATAAGTAGAGATCTCACGGATGTACAACACCATAGATTAATTTTGTAACAAAATGCACTTTATTTCGCTCTGGCTGGGATATATGCACAGTTTTGTACAGTGGAGAAAATGTCAGGTTCTGGGGAATGTCTGCTGATTAACTCATTTACATCATGACCCTAACTGAAGGTGTCAGCGACGTTCAACTGACGATTTGCCTGTATCATCGCGTGAGGTTGGTCGTATGTGCAGTAAATGATTTCCGAATTATTCATGGAGTTTACTATTTAAAACAATTAATACACAATGTTACATGGCAAACATCGCGTTTTACATTTTCCTATAAAGAAGGGAAAGATAAAAATTATTTTATAAATAAAATAAGAAATAAAGTAAAATAAGATAAAGGTAAAACTTGTTAAGAATATAATTTATTGAGATAATGTAGGTGAGATGCTCACAAAAGGGATTAAACGTGATCTGTGGCATACACGTGTGGAGAATATTCAGCGACTGTTAATGAAAAATGTCACAGCTCGCGGATTATTCCATGCTTGGATGTAAATGGGTTAAGGGTTGGTTCTTGAGTCAGGGGTGGGCTTTGACTGGTTTCGGATGGTTCGTGTCTGGTTTTGGAGATTTTGTGTATATACTTGGGTGATAAGGAAGCATATGGAGAGGTACCATATGCTTAGTAGGCATCTGTTTGCTCAGCGTTGGCTTCTGAGACATTGGTCTCATAATCTCGGCAACAAGGTGGTCCTTACACTATCGCAGTCACTGCCAGGATTTACCGTTGACACCTAGGATTTACCAAGCTTCGAGCTTCTTATGTCATCACATCACAAGTAACACGAGGGATGAATCTGTCAAAAACTTGGGAATTATCGGAACACACGTTCCGGATCGTCCATGTCGAATTACCTTCCAATCGGAATCCATCCACTTCGTTATTCCGCGCACCACCTTCTCCTTTGTACCCCAGTCACGGGAATCCGGGAAACATTCGGAGAAACGAGTTTCGCAGGGAATCCACGCGCCTCGTCACGCCGAATGTCGCACGGATATTTTCCTTACATCGCCATGGGCCGGAATTTTATCGCGCGACAAAGAAAATCCTGAAATATCTTCGCACGGTTCGCTACGTCCCTAGGGTGGTGGGACAATTTTATCGCAGTCGAAACGATCGTCGCTGATTCCTCGAGCACGCAAACACCCGTTTATTCGATCGTTCCACGTTCCCAGTGCTGTAGATGCGAGGATGGAAGGAGAAAGATTTATGCGAATCCTTCTTGCACGCTTATTTCGCAGGGCCGGAGTCGCTAGAGCCGGACTTCGTGGGAGCTCCTTACGAATTTTGGGTCGGTGCCAATGTGGCAGTCGGTACCAGCGTTGGCCAGATCCGCTTGAACGACGCCGTGAAGACCAATGACCTGATCTACGATCTGCTGCACAGCTACGAGAAGGGGGGTACGTATCTGAGCAGGATTAACTTCTCGTATCTTATATCTACTATAATACTATATTATAATGTAGAGATAGGGTGATTGTTAAATAACATAAAACTATTTATTAAACATAAAATATAATATACAATGTGCGGTGACGGTAAGGACTACGAATATAGATATCTATCAACTAAACTTTTACGACTACAACTAATAACACGATTATAACTAACAACGCAATTACAACTAATAACACGAATACAACTAACATCACAATTCTTCACAACTCACTGCCTACTCACGCCCTTGCATCCCTATTTAAAACCACCCATTCTATCCTCTTTCATACCTATTCTCTCTTTCCAAATCACACTTTCCTACGCACTCCTTGCAATCTTACCCTCAGCGGGTTACGTAGCCCAAACACTCAAACGCATTCCTAAAGACACTCTTCACTTTCATCAGATACATTCATAAACATACCGTCCACACGATCCTACGCACGGTCATCCGTCCTTTCGCACGCACTCTAGATAACATGCTTGACCCACTCATCCTGCGATACCACAATATTATACAATACTATTACACTAATATTAATGTGAGATCGGGGTGGGTGGATTGGCTAAAGTAACGTTGTTTTACTGCTTCCTAAAATACAATAAACTTATACTTATTGGCTGCGAAACTAGGGACCCGCTACGGGTACGCTCTACTTTTACTTCTTGCACACTATCTTTGGGACCGTTAAGGACTGCCCCTGCCCGCGCCCTTGTGCCCTTATTTAACCCTTAGAGTGCTGAATACTCGCGGCCCATGTGGTCCGTACGGACGGCGCGCGGCCAGCGCTGACGATCGCTGTGGACGGGATACTTTTTCGCTAGACTGAACTCTGTATCCCGCCTTGGCATCGCTAAATAAGCCGCGAGGTCGGTATTTCCTAGGTTTATAACACGATCGGAAAGACAGACTATTTTACACGAAAATAACTACATATTGATTGAAAAAATCGACAAACGCATATATGCGCCCTTAGTCCAGGCCGATGACTCAGAGAAAACACATAAATGCGGCCTTAGGCTACACGGATGACTTTCGCCAAACGCATATATGCGTCCATAGAGCTTTAAGGGTTAAGCATTCACTCTGTCCTCATCTATACCCACGTTCTCTCTTCTCAATCGGTCGGTCACGTATTCTAGACAGTCAGGCGCATTCATAAACTTTCATAAACATTCATTGCAATCGATCCTCTTGTACGAGGTCTCTTTCGTTCTAAGTCCAAACACACTTATCATTCTTCCAGGGCCGTACTTATGCCAATCCCACATTAATAATATAATATACTAATATCATTATTAATATAATATTGTATGATTAATGCTCGGTTAATCCTATGCTAATAAACAACGACCTACTTTTAATAACAAAATAGATTAATATAAACTAAAATATTGCACTATATCATAGAGACAGAACTTATGACTGAATTAGGTTCTTTTAGAGAGAACGTTATGATAACAATTAATTTATTAAATGTAAGCGATTAGTTTATATCTTAGTCTTCCAAAGTCTTCGAGGTTACCCAAGATAATGTGCCAATTGCGTTCAAGGTTAGGATAAATTAGATCATCGATTTTCAGAATTTTTCAGGAAATAAACTTAACGTCATATCAATGTAATCATACTTATCATTATTATTTAATACATTTATTTTTCTAAATAAATGATTAAGTTATTATTCTATTAAATTATTCTAAATAAAATTTATTTTACGTTGAAGAGCACATCTTGCTATTAAAACGAGCTTCTTTCGAGTGGAACTATCAGGTTTCAAAGCTGCAACTAGCAACCAGTACTCTGTAACTAGAACTAGAATTAGGTCAATATACCCCAATTCTCTTCAGTTTCTAATCATTTTTATAACTTTAATATTTGTAAATTTTCATAATTTAAATTCAAATTAAATAATCTTAATTTAAACCAGTTTAAATTAACGAAAAGTAAATATAAAATTTCGTACCCTCCTCCTTTTTGAAAAATTTACTTCTATAATTCAATATATAAATATAAATATTCCAGCCTGGTCCCATAAAAATGGCACCATATTGCTATTTCCTCTTAGTTGATTTTGAAGGAAATTCTAAAGCATGATCGATAATGCAATGCTGCTCTAAGGCCTTCAAAGTCACTCGAGATCATACATCAGCCCCATGCAAGGATCGATGTATAAACAAGTGGATTGATTTTTAAGATTCTGAAAAAGAAGACCCACTCGACGTCGTATCAGTATAATCGTACACTTCCAATAAAAATCTCATAAATCATACATTATTAACCACTTAGCCACGAGTGTACATCCATTAAGTCTCCCATTTTTCATCCGACATCTCCCAGCGCTCGATACCCAGGCCCGAATCGATACCGCCTCCAAAATTTTTCAAATATCCCCGAAGCATGTGCAAACTTCCCTCTAAAGTAGCCAGAAGGGATATAAAATTCGCGTTGCGAAGAGACAGAGTTCATTACGTTTAACCACGCGGATGTCTAACGACCGAATAATCTATACCTAGCACGGGTGCGCAGCTCCAGCCTCTCCATCGGGGAGAGGTCTGTTGCCCTGAACCTAATTCGTGACACATGTTGCATACATTCATGGCATTTCAGTCCCTTTCGCCGTGGAGGAACGCTCTGGAACGATCACAGTGGTAGAGGAGATCGAGAAGTACGACAGATCGACCTATGACTTCGAAGCCATCGTCACTGACGAGAGGGAGCTGATGTTGATCACCAATGTGTCCATCCACGTGGTGCACCCTGATGACGAGAGGGGTATCTTCACGAAGTAAGCGAGGATTTAGGTTTATTATGTATTTTCAAATTTAATTTGTTATTTATTGGTATTTATTTTGAAATCGGGTTTATTACTTGTTACTTGATTTCAATTTCGATTTGATATTCGTCTTGAAATTTAGGGTTTATTATTTGTAATTTATTTTGAGTTTAGGTTTATTTATCCTGGAATTTCGTAGTTAATGGTGATTGGTGAATGGTGAATGGTCGGGATGGGATAAATTTTATATTTTCACATTGCAAGTAAAGTTAGAATTCTATAGGTATATTTGTTTGGATTTTAAGCAAAGTTTAGGAATTATATTTTTATCTATTTTGAGGCAAGGACTGTGATTAAAATTGTGCAGCGAAATTTTTAGAAGTTTCTTAATCTTCTTCCTCTCACTTTAACTTTCACATTCAACAAAGGAATGTCACAATTCCGCCCCTTTCAATAATGGAGTCGCGAATTCTTTATAAAGGCGTTTGATGATCATCCCTGGATCGATGCCTCCAATTTTCACGAGCAACAAAGAAATATAAAAATCCCACCCCTTGTAGCAAGGGAGTCACGAATTCTGTATAATAACACTCTCCCTTCGATGATCAGCCTTCCATCGATATCTCGATTTCACTCCTCTCACTACAATTTTCACGAATAACAAAGAAGTGTTAAAATCTCACCCCTCTAAGAAGGGAGTCACTAATTTTGTATAAAGAGGTTCGATGATCATTCTCACAATCAATATCTCGATGTCTCTCCTATCATTCCAATTTTCACGAACAACAAAGAAATATAAAAATCTCACCCCCTGTAAGAAGGGAGTCGAGAATTCTGCAGAATGGCATTCGATGATTAACCCTCAATCGATATCTCGGTATCTCTCCTCTTACTTCAATCTTCACCAGCAATAAAGAAATATAAAAAACCCACCCTCTCTAACAAGGGTGTCACGAAATCTGTATAAAGGGATTCGATGATCACCTCTCTTCTCTCACTTGAATCGTCACGCTTAACAAAGAAATGTAAAAATCCCACCCCCTGTTACAAGAGAGTTACAAGTTTTGTATAATAACATTCACCCCTCGATGATTATTCCCTCGATCGATATCTCGATATCTCTCCTCTTACTTCAATTTTCGGGAGCAATAAAGAAATATAAAAATCCCACCCCTTCTAATAAGGGAATCACGAATTCTTTATAAAGGTGTTTGATGATCAGCCCTCGATCGATGCCTCCAATCTTCATTAGCGACAAAGAAATATAAAAATCCCACCCCCTGTAAGAAGGGAGTCGAGATTTCTGTAGAATGGCATTCGATGATTAGCCTTCAATCGATGCCTCGATATCTTTCCTCTCACTCGAACCTTCACGTGCAACAAAGAAATATAAAAGTCCCACCCCCTGTTGCAAGAGTGTTACAAGTTTTGTATAATAACATTCACCCCTCGATGATCATTCCCTCGATCGATACCTCGATCCCTCTCATCTCACTCCAATCTACACGAGTAACAAAGAAGTGTCAAAATCTCACCCTTCTAACAGGGGAGTCACGAATTTTGTATAAACGAGTTCGATGATCATTCCCACGATCAATATCATTCCAATTTTCACCAGCAACAAAGAAATATAAAAATCTCACCCCCTGTGAGAAGGGAGTCGAGAATTCTGTACAATGGCATTCGATGATTAACCCTCAATCGATATCTCGGTATCCTCCTCTTACTTCAATCTTCACCAGCAATAAAGAAATATAAAAAACCCACCCTCTCTAACAAGGGTGTGACGAAATCTGTATAAAGGGGGTCGATGATCAGCCCTCGATCGATGCCTCCAATCTTCATTAGCGACAAAGAAATATATAAATCCCACCCCCTATAAGAAGGGAGTCGAGAATTCTGTAGAATGGCATTCGATGATTAGCCTTCAATCGATATCTCGATATCTCTCCTCTCACTCCAATCTACACGAGTAACAAAGAAGTGTTAAAATCTCAGGCCCTCCAATAATGGAGTCGCGAATTCTGTATAAAGAGGTTCGATGATCACCGCTTGATCTCTCTCCTTTCACTCCAATCTTCACGTGCAACAAAGAAATATAAAAATGCCACCCCCTCTAACAAGGGAGTCACGAATTCTATATAAAGGCATTCGATGATTACCCCTCGATCGATACCTCGATCTCTTTCCTTTCACTCGAACCTTCACGTGCAACGAAGAAAGGTCAAAGAACGCCCAACTTTACGGAGTTCACCCCAACCCTCCGCTATAGAAGTCGATGTCCGCTGATTGCAGGGGAACGACCACAGCGCCTCTGGTCTTCCACGTGAAGGAGAACGTAGCCGGCGCTTACATCGGCCAAGTGCTTCCGCAAAATGGCACCGGCACGTCCGCCGCGGGCACCCGCTTCTTTATCGTCAATCAGCAGGATGTACCCGACATCTCGATCACCGAAGATGGCGCCCTCTACGCGCCGCACGGTCTCGATCGCGAGGCCAGACAGAACTACAGCATCATCGTGAGCGCGGAGAGTCCACGCAGCGTTGGTGTGTTCCAGGTGAGTCGTTTCTTGGTAATAGAATCAACCACAGTCAAATAACTGGCGAATGAAGAAGAAATGGAGGCTTAAAAGAAAATGAAAGAATGAAACATGTTGGAAGATTCACTATACGTATGTGTATTCGATGAAAAGCTGAGAAGATGAGGGATTAAGGAGATGACGTTGATTGCGGAATTTTTGACCGCAGTTTGAAACGTAGACTTAGTGTTGACAGTCGTTGAGTCATTGGAGTGTTATTATAGTACGAAGAGTATATAGTATATATAGTACGAGTATTGTCAAATTACGGGGAGGCTGTTGATGGGTATTTTCAGACCTAGGCACGAGCTGATATCTTCTTTGGTAGAATTTATTTTGCATTGACATCTTGACAGAACTAAGTTAGGTTGGTTGTATATACTGTGCAAGTTAAAAGAAAATTATTTTAAATGGAAGTGTTGTACAATTTAAAAAGAAAAAATATTCACAATGTTAAAGAGTATGACAGTACTTCAAGATATCACACTGTGAATTTCAATTATCGCGAAATTAAGAGATAAATAAGCGAATTGTACCGATTATTAAATAAAAAGGTTCGGGATTAAATTTAAAAATTTTATTAAAAATTAGGATAATAATTTTCATTTTTTGTAAGGATTAAAAGAAAATGAAAATTACTACCTTGATAATTCCTAATGTTATTGAATAAATTTTTTAATATAAATTAATTCTATTTAATTTATTAAATTATTATAACTTGATAATTAATGTGCCAATTCTATATGCAAGAAATTTATTTATATACTTTTGAATGTATAGAAAACTTTTTATAAAATATGTATTAAAATTTTCAATTGTATTGACATTTTCGACTAATATCGTGGTGAGCTAGTAATTTCACATAAATGAAGGGATCAAAACTTATTGAATTGCTATAGCCATTTCAATTTCTATCGGTTTTTGATTATTATATTATATTATAATATTAAAAAGACTTGTCGATGGATTTGTGTGTCTAGATCTAAAGAAGACCCCTCCATAGCTTTATATGTCTGATGTCTGGGTCTGAAAAGACCCCTTGATAGTTCTGTGTCATTCTGTATCTAGAAAGACCCGTCGAAAGCTTTGTCTGTGTCTGGGTCTCTAAAGACCCGTCCATGTCTCTGTATATCTAGTGTTTGGATCTAGAAAGAGTCGTCTGTGAGTCTATATTTGTTTGGGTCT